TAGGGTTTACAGTTCCATTGTTGCCCCAAAAGTACTTACAGACCCTACAGTGGTGACTGCCTTCCACACCAATTTTCTGATGCTTGTTGAACTTTTTATTAAACATCATTGGAAGAGAGGGTTAGGGCACAGACAGGGCTGGATATCCCACAAGGCCAACTGAGGCCTGGTCTTGGGGTAGCAGGGAGTAGAGGGACAGCAGGGGTGTGGAATTCCTATCTCCCTAAGCCCAGGACATGCAGTTGCGGGCGGCAGGCCCTGTGATTAGTTAGGGTTACTTGCCAAGTCCTCCCTTTCCTCTTACGGCCTCATTCACACAACTAACAGCCGGCCCGTGCACAGCCGTATCGGGCCACTCCCGGGAAGGACAGGTGCTGCGTGTGATTGTACGCAGCAGCCTGTCCTTCTCTATGGGAGCGCGAGGCCGTACGCTCATCCGGACTGCAGTCCCTGCAGGTGTCCCTGCTCGGACGCAGACAGGATCCACCCTGTCTGCGTACAAGTACGGACACCTGCACCGACGTGCAGTTCGGGTGAGCGTACGGCCTTGTGCTCCCATAGAGAAGGACAGGCTGCTGCGTACAATCACACGCAGCACCTGTCCTTCCCAGGAGTGGCCGGTTACGGCTGTGCACGCAGCATGGTTCTGTACGGGCCGGCTTTTAGTCGTGTGAATGAGGCCTACATCAGAGGCAAGGGAAAGTAAAGGGAGTAATGAATGGAGTCATTTAATGCTTCCCTGTAAAAACAAGCTGCAGCAGCAAACAAAAAAAGTTTCAAACAATGTAACCCTTTTAACCCCCCTTCCTCTCATGCTTATGTTATCTGCGTTCTGTCTCTGCTCTGACCTGTATATAAACCGTTTCACCTCACTTATCCTGCACATCTATACAACGACCCCTTTATCTCCATCCTCCCACTGTATGTGACCTCTACAGTCACTCCCTCACTCTGTCTTCATAATTTAACCTCCTCAATACCGGCATGTTCCTTAATTTCCTAAAAATTAAAAATATTATGGCAAAACATCAGATGACCTTGGACTTTCTACTTCCCAAAAGGAGTCATTTCGGGGATTTTTGTACCGTTCTGACATTATTTGCCGATTTATAAACGAAAGTGAAACAGGCCGTTTTCAAATGTTTGGGTCTTTTACTTATTATAGTGAACACATTTTAAAAAAAGCGGTCAATAAAAACCACTAAAAGAAAGCTCTACCTGTACCCAAAAAAAAGATATTAAATTCATTTTATTACAGAGTTACGTGACGGAGGAATTCTCAACCAAACTTGCAGAGCGCTGACAACTGAAACATGGCCTGGTAATGGAGGGGGTGGAACATGCTGGTGCTGAAGTGGTTAATCTGTGTATTTAGCCGTTTGCCTGGACTTTAGCTTTATGTTCTGTGCTGGTCACAGCAACCCGATTCTTGTTCTCATTTTCAAATGACAGATCTGTCTGGTCTCTATGGGCATCTTTTTCCTATTGCTTTTAAAGATAAGCTGCTTATACCATTAGACTTTACAGAATGTGAAAAACATTGCTATATACATTATCAACATATAAAATTGGAATTAGGAGGCATATTTTTAAACCAGAGAAAAATCAATGAAGTGTAAATGAAATCCGTGCAGATCTTGTGTATATTTCACAGTATAAGGTAGCATCTGTCTGGCATGCCTGTCACACTAGCCATATGGGCAATGGATCTGACTCACTGCCATACACTGCCTGACACATATGGCGATAATTGCTGCTGATAACTAATATCATCTGTTACCGCATTAAATTAGTCCACATAGAGCAACTTGACAGCTTAGACTGCACTCGTGTACAGCTCCGCTGTCTAAACACACAAGTAGCCTTTTTATGGCGTGGACCAGTACATCAAATAAAGCTAAAATGTGCCTAAAATGTGCCATTGCCAGCTTTTTCTTTAGAAACAAAAAAAAGCGAGAGATACCTGGCTGCCAAGCTGATCCTCAACCTTCAAGGATTGTGGAGTTACTGACTAGGAGCATATATGCAGGCTAGAAGTTCTGTCTTCACTTGCTGCGGATCGTGGTCAGTGAGTCCAGAAGCATTAAAGCCAGCACGTATTTAGCACTTTTAGAAGGTGGTCATTAATGGTAGCTTCTATATTTTCTCAGTACAGGTTTCCTTTAAAGAACTATGAGGCGAGTGATTTCCACTCATCCTCATAGTTAGAGCCGACCTGTGACAAAGAAGCTGTCACAGGCCAGCTCTATCGCTCGGGAAGTGAGCAAACACTGCGGTCCAGGCACCTCTAAAGAGCATGTAAGGGAGCTGTAAGCAATGCACGTATAGATGGATGGAGCTCCCTCAAGGCCATAGCCCCACCCCACCTAAAGTTGACACTTCGCACCGGGCAGCATATATTGAATGGCTGCTCATTGCGAGAACTAACAGTGCTGCGCTAGGGGGAGGCCGAGAAGCCATTCACCTAGAAAAGTGAAAGGCATGCGGCGACCCACTGGACACAGGGTCGCGACCCACTTTTGGGTAACGACCCACCAGTTGAGAACCAAGGCTCTAAAAAGGAGCGCCACAGCCGGGACACTTTCCACAGCTCGGTCACTTTCCGATCATCTCCCTACTATCGGTCACCGCTCCCCGCAGGGATCCCCCCCCTTCCCTCTCCGATCCCCCAGCGCTGAGTGGTCACGCAGCTGGGTGGATCTCGACAGTATTGTCAGGATCCGTCCCGGCTGTGGCACTCTCAGTATATCACGGGCTAGCTTTGGGTCACAGGAGGAGGTTTGTGTATGGCCTCCCGTGACCCTAAAGAGAAGCATGGGGAAAAAACACTTACCCCATAGTTATTTAAATAAGTGTAAATGCAATATAAAGGGTTTGTCATCCCCAAGTACTGCATTACCTGTGCACATATATGGAGGGGGCCAATTTAAATTAATGGTTTTAGATATTGTATGTGTTCTGTGAATGGAGAAAGTGCAAGACAGAACAGAACGTATGCTGGCCACATATATTACAATATGTCGGCAGGAGCAGAGTCGCTAGTGTGCCATGGCCCTAAAGGAGATTGTATAATTAGATTGTAAAGTGTGTTTAGTGTTACTTGCTCTGGTTGTAAGCAGAGGCCCGCTATAGAGGTGCTGTGTTATTAGGGCCATAAACAACCATCACCCCAACCAAAGCTTAGACATCAAGATGGCCAATGATAAAATAAACCACACTGACAAAATAAATCCCGTTGCGGAAGTCACTTTATTGGTGCTGTACATGCCCGGTCATGACTTCGCTCTGGGCTCCACATCAGTTTTGTGTAAAAGATCAGTGTCATTTTTCTCTTTATAACTTATAAACATGATTTACATCCAAGTTCCTACAGCGGGAGGTCAGGAGGCAGCAGGAGTGAAGCCTCCTCCCCTCGCCAACAGCAGCACAAGGCCTAGGAGGGCTTAGGTAGGTCCCAGAACAGACCCTCCTCCTAGACATGACACCTCCCAACCCCAGAAATGATAAGCCAGAGTAGAACAGAACAAGATGGCGGATCGGACAGACAAGATGGGAAAGATCAGTCACTTGTGGCATCACACTCACAGAAAGGCAAGTCACATTCATAACATGGAGTTGTTGAGAAGACTGCATAAATGGTTTAGAAGATACAAATAAAAAAATGAGGGAACAGCTTTTGATTCGGGGACTGGACAGGACAAACACAGACAGAAAACTCACTCAAACCAAAGTAACTGTTGACCAATATCTCTGAAGAGAGACTGTCCATGCACAAAGCAACCAATACAATGTTGTCTGGCTATTCCATAACGCAATACAGCTATGAAATGGCCAATCGGATTGGTTGCTACAGACCAGCCTAAATCTCCCATCAGACCTTATTAACTATGAGGTCACTCGTAAGAGTAGACATATGAAGACAAGGATGGCTCCCCCTCCGCTCCAAGTACCTACGTTAAAGATCAGGAAATTCCTCCACTGCCTCCCTAACCCCAATGATAAAATAAAAGTCCATAAAAAATGTGCCTGGCAGGAGTTTTGTGGTGGAAGGGCGAGTTAAGAAATTAGGGAGAAGGGGAAGGCAGTCAGAAAAGCAGAGGGAGAGGCCGCATGTCTAGGTGTGGAGGAGAGACCACAAGCCGTTAACGGAAGATGATGTTAACCGATGGTCAAGCCGAAGCCGCACACAAATTTGTTCTTCTTGTGGTTGAGGAAGGCTCCCATGGCTAGCGTGAGAGGAAGTGGTGGAAGTTTCTTTTCTAAAGTTGCTCCGACTAGCCAATTACTGTCCAGCGAGCCTGCCAGATAGAGACATAGAAAATTAGCCAAAAACATAGATGAAAAATGAATACAATCCAATATATTAACAATATACAAACCTATACCTTGAGCTACATCACCAACCTCGTCCCAAAATACCAAACTGTACAATCAACTCCTCCCAAGAGCTCCTGCTCTTCAACTCCCTCATCAGCTCCTCCCATGTTTACCTCTGGGACTTCTCCAGAGCCTCTCCCATCCTCTGGAACTCCATACCCCAACATGTCTGGCTATCTCCTACCTGCCTTTAGGCAATCCCTGAAGACTCACCTCTTCAGGGAAGCCTATCCCACCTCTACTTAAACAAATTAGCTTTCACCTTCTCCATCACCAACAGTTATTGCCACTTGTATTACTTGCCCCTTCCTTTTAGATTGTAAGCTCTCACGAGCAGGGCCATCCTAACCCTCCTGTCTGGATTTGTATTGTAACTGTACTGTCTCCCTTTATACATTAAAGTGCTGTGCAAACTGTTAGCACTACAAAATCCTGTATTATAATAATAAAAAAGGGGAAGGGAACGCATGAACAAGAAGAAAATTAAATGCAAGAGGTAAGAACTGTTCTGGTCTCAGTAAAACAAAATTAACTACCAACATCCTATACAGAGAAGAATGAACTCCACTCACCCTGCCCAATATATCTTTGTATGCATTTTAGATTCCTCTGAAATGTTCTTCCAGTAAAAAGTAGAGGGAGAACTCCCTCTGACCAGCAGTGCCAAGGGAGCATGGAGCCGGCTTCCTTTACAATCAGGAAGCCAGCGGTGGGTTATGACCTGCCTCCCGGCTTCTGATTGGCCAGGAAGCCAGCTTCACTTGTTGGTAGGCAGCCTAGCTTCCTAACCAATCAGGAAGCCGGGAGGTTGGTCATGGCATGCCGCCCTGCTTCCTGATTGGTCAGGAAGTCAGGCACCCTCGGCAAATAAAGCCGGTATGCTTTCGATAGAACACCAGCGTCTCAGGCAATGGGTCATGAAATGCCGCCTTGACTTCCCAATAATCGTGGCACAAAGCACCGGTGTCGGCAAGCACCGCGGCTTTGAACACAGAAGCCAATATTATTTTCATGCGGCTCTTCGCAGCCAATCAGGAGCTTGGACTGCCAATTCCAGCATGAAACACCACCTCAAAAATCACAGAAAATTGGCAACATCTTATCAGTCCACTTTAATGCAAGCAGGTACAGCCTACTCGAAAGGGTCAACGCTGCTCTGATTTCAGAACCAGCACAAAAGTGTTGTCACCCCATCACAGGAACCTGCATCAGGTAGACTTAACTGGCAGGATCAACAGGTATTGGTGAGAATTTACAGGGGAACCAAGGGAAAACTGTTAGTGCAGATGCGTTTACAGTGAAGTGCTGTAGCACATTTTCTTTTTAAATGAGAGGCCACAGCTCTACTTTAAAATGTATCAAAATCACAGAGATGTCATGCAATGTGTTCTAACTAAAGCAGACTTATTTTTAAAGAAAGAAAGAAAGAAAGAGACGGCATAACACCAATATTAGCCTTACCACCGTCTAGTGGCTCAAAATTCTAACTGTCCATACCTTTAAACAGTAGGTTGGCTTTGGGGAGATCCAGCTGGTAACCCAAGGTGACACTTGTGTCCTGCATCCGGGTGTTAGCTTCAAACTCCACTCCTACTTGAAGCTGATAAAGTAAAACAGAATGTTTATGAGGAACACTGCTCAGTAATGGGGGTAAGTGAATCCATGATACTACTGTTATACATGGCCACCATTTACACTTCACAAGCCTATTGATAAAATTGCTACTGCCAAATACAATACAAACGCAGGCATGACAATTAGAGATGCAACGATATTTATTTTCGGTACCCGTCGATACTGAATACAGATACTGGAAGTCCCATAAAGGAAGCCGGGCGGCGTCTAATGACATGCCCCCGCGGCTTCATGGCCAATCAGGAAGCGGGGGGCAGGTAATGACTCGCCACCCAGCTTCCTGATTGGCCAGATTCCCGGAAGTGGGTCATTACACTTCGCCCGGCTTCCTGACTCGACGGGAAGCCGGCTCCATGCTCTCTGGTCACCAAGTGAGCAGAGAGCGGGGAGCTGGCTTCCCGGCCAATCACGAAGCCGGGGAGCGAGTCATTACCCACCTCCCCCCGGCTTCCTGATTGGCCGAGAAACTGGCTCCATACTCCCTGGTAACGAGGGAGCATGGACCCACGCATGCACAGTAGCCATGAGATGTCTGGACTGACGAATGCTTTTAGCCTGTAAGATTTCTGGACTTGGAGCTCCTCATCTGCAGTGCGCTTGCGCGTTGGCCTGTTGCCCCCGCACGTCCGGGCCTGGAGAAGTGATAGGACACCGGCTTCCCGGTAATGACTCGCCACCCAGCTTCCTGATTGGCCAGATTCCCGGAAGTGGGTCATTACACTTCGCCCGGCTTCCTGACTCGACGGGAAGCCGGCTCCATGCTCTCTGGTTACCAAGTGACCAGAGAGCGGGGAGCTGGCTTCCCGGCCAATCAGGAAGCTGGGGAGCGAGTCATTACCCACCTCCCCCCGGCTTCCTGATTGGCCGAGAAACTGGCTCCATACTCCCTGGTAACGAGGGAGCATGGACCCACGCATGCACAGTAGCCATGAGATGTCTGGACTGACGAATGCTTTTAGCCTGTAAGATTTCTGGACTTGGAGCTCCTCATCTGCAGTGCGCTTGCGCGTTGGCCTGTTGCCCCCGCACGTCCGGGCCTGGAGAAGTGATAGGACACCGGCTTCCCGGCCATTGAGGAAGCCGGGCGGTGTGTAATGACTCGCCGCCTGGCATCCTGATACCGGAAGTTCCGGTATCAGAATAAGCATCAGGAGTTTTTGAGTGAGTAAGAGTACGAAAAAAATCAGTATCGGCACCGATACCAATAGTAGTATCGGTGCATCCCTAATGACAATGGAACTGCAACTTATTATTCCTAGTCCCTAGTTGTATGATTTTAAACCTGACATAAGAAGATAATGGGGACCTGTTTTTATAAAAACCTAATCATTGGGATAATGCGGACCTGTTTTATAAAAATGCTTGGTGCTTGGCTGTTATGCTGACTCTCTGGCTTCAATACTTTCTGGGCTACCGACCTGTAAACAGTGTGCAGATCAGGAGAATCACAGTAAAGCCTGATCTGTGTCCCTGTGCCAGGTCAGTGACACAAAGTGTACAAATCATTATTCAATGTCATTTATAGAACACTCTAGCTGTATTTCTAGCTCTCTTAGTCTAAAAACACCCTTTACCTAGTTGCCAATATGTAAATTAACAGTGCAGCTTGGTATCAAGCGCCATAAAGCTATGTGCTCTAACCTATCCACTGTTACCCTGTACTCCAATATCACAGACCAATAATAGCTGCAGTGTTTCCAGATATGGGGGAACATGTTACACCCCCACCCCTTCTCCATCTCCCATAATGCTGACAACTTTCAGAAAGTTAGTACTTGCCTAGGAACTTTGGAAAGGTAAAAATAGGCAATGCCTGCTAACTCTGTACACTATAATTTCCATACTGAGGAATAGACCTGAACAAGTATGCAGATTAGTGTTCGGAACAGATTTTCCTGATCTGCATTCTTGTCTCGCATCCGGTAATTTAAATACTGAAGCCAGTGACAGGCTGTAAATTAGTATGTTAAAAGGATGCCAGCAATGGCTCCCACTCAATGTCTCAGCATACAAAACTCCCTCTCTAGAGCATGTCCCAGGATTAGATTCTACTTTAACCTTGTTCCTGTAAGAGGAAACAGCTTTTATTACTCCCTAAGACATCACCAGGCTTGTAAAATTCTTGCAGGGAAACCAAAGGCCTATTTTCTATCGATGCAAACATGCCTCTCAGAGCTACATTTCCCAAGAGCTTATTCCCTAGACATTGTGTGGGCAGTGTTCTAAAAGGAAGCAGCATTGTTTTACTGGTAAAGAAATCAACGTATGCATGCAGAGAAGCACAGAGCGAGTTATGCCTACCAACAGGCAGAGATGACAACTGTGCTGCCACAATGGTTGCATAGAATATGACAGGTCATAGTTAATACTCACATTAATGTGAGATGAGAATGTATATAGTTTATTTTCCTTAAGCCATATATTCTGAGCAGCATTATAGTTGGTTCATGTACTGACATCTAGTGGTCATTCTGGTTATTGCACCATGTTTTTCTGTGTTCCCTCCCATCTATGATGTATTTCCCCCTTCTTGTTCAGTGTCATGGCTGACAGTAACATGACCACATGTTAATCTGCATTGCATGCTTGGAAACATGATCATCTTTGACCGCTTTAAAATACCATCTATTCATTCATCTGCTGTATCCTGTTGTCTGCTGTAACCTGCATAAACGGAATAAAGTACTTTGTGGATGAAAGGGTATTTGGTGAGTTCAGCTATCTGATGCAGTGATTATATCTGCTTATACAGGTCAGGCATAGAGGTCTCAGCAAGGGATAAATCGCTAATACAACGCTGACTGGGATTTCTGTGCAGCAAAGAATCTGTTAGCCCAAACAGATTAGGAGCACACTGGATTTTTGGTCAAAACGGTAATTTTTTTTGTATGTGCAGCATTTTTATTGGGATAAAACATTAGGAAATGTGTCTGTACTGAATATTTTTTGCCCTAGCGTTTAAAAAGAGACCCTGTCAGGAAATATGGAGAACAATAATGGAATTAAACTTCACTCACATCAAAACGAAAAATCCTGCCCTCTCCCCGTTCTCCAAAATCTGACAGAGGTCGTCAAATGCACCTATTTAACCCAAAAGAGATTCTGCACATTTAAATACATACAATAAAATGGTAAAGTACCTGATCATTAGCTTTATGGTAATATGTTGCGTGCGCTCCTGCTTGTCCTAGAGTTAATGTCCCGGTCCAATTTGGAGCTATAATAAAAACATGAAACATTAATGAAGCAAGAAGAAAAACAGCACAGTTAAAACTATTAAAGCTGAACTCCAGGATCCCAGACAATTTATCTCCCTTTCCTTATCCACAAATAAAATACCTTTAAAGCATTTTTGTTTAACCCCATTGATTGGTTAAGCTAGGCCCAATGAAAGGAGTCACACAATTCCCCCCCCCCCTCCCCCCGTTAGCATATTTCCTTCCTCGGTAAAGCTCTGTTGTAGGTATACCAGCCAGAGGGAGCCTGGGTTGACTGCTAGGTATGTACCCTAGTAGCTTTATAACAGACAGAGATAGATAAGGCTTCACCCTCCAGGTTATCCCTCTATACAGTTCTGCAGCTTCCTGCATCTAACCTGCACATTGAACTATGAATCACTTCATTCATCCACACACTTTGCAATCTGATTGTAATATATATATATATATATATAATCTATATCTACCTCACACACAATCATATATACTGTACATACATACATACATACACGGTATTAAAGAAATGCACCGGCCCATCTTATTTGAAATAGATTTAATAGATTCAGCTAGATAAACTGTGTGATCAGCATAAGCCTCTGGCTGATCAAATCAATACATAGTTTTCACTCTAAGGCCTGGTTCACACCTGAACGTTTTGTAGCGCGTTCAACGCTCGACGAACGCTCAAACATCTAAATCCCATTGTATTCAATGGGTCTGGTTCACACCTTGCCGTATTTCCGCCCGTCCGAACGCGATACAAAACGGCCTACATGTACTTCTTTGGGGCGTTTTGATCTCGCGTTTCCATTGGGATACAGCCAATAGCCCATGGAAACGCGCGTTTGTCGCGCGTATTTTTTTTTTACCGCGGATCGCGGTAAAAATGCACGACGCGAACCGCGCAACAAACGCGCATATTCAATACGCCTAGGTGTGAACCCAGCCTAAGTTGTGTCCACTAAATTTACTCCATCAGGTTGAGAAAATTAACCCCTTCATGGCTGAGGCATATTTTTTCTTTTTTAAAAATGGCCCTGATGCCAGCACACTGTACGTCACTGGTCATGAAGGGGTTTTGGGGGAAAAAAAAAACAGCAAGTTTCCATCCAGACCTGGTTATTTGACGTTCACAAGAGTTCAATATGGCTAGAATTAAACTTATTCCTTAAGTCAAGCACTCTCTACAGGTGTCCATACACTGTACGAATTTCGTCTGGTTCTACAGGTGGTACATACACATGTGCAACCACACGTGCACACACACACACACACACACACACACACTTCCTCGCCTGTCACATTTCCTTATAGAAAAAAAATACGTGAAATGATGCACACTATAGTTGTTCATGAATTTATATATAGAATTATTACCTGTGTATCTTCCTGCTAATGACATCACTGTTCCCTCTTCCCCAGGACGCCGGTGGTAGACAAGTTCTCCTCCCAGTGCCAGACTGGGTGTGATGCTCTGCATGTAGTGTGCAACCACAATACCTAGAGACAAGATATATTCATTTGCACATACACATGCTGCTGAAACACTATGAAATGTATGCCAACACAATGAGTTGTGCTATTGAAGGGAGAGAACATTCACTTTTTAATATAAAACTCCATTTACTTGATACTATTTAACAAGCACAAGTCATGTGATCTTGTAACAGAAAAGATTTTTCCTTTGCACCGTTCATGTGAGTACCAGTTATATCATGCTATGTGTCACTGGCAACCAGAAGTTCCTTCAATCTGGAAAGACAGAAAAGCCTTTTTCCTTTGTCCAATACTTTGTTAATCTTCTGTGTGATGCGGGACTACATAAAATTAGATCTTAAAGCAGAACTCCAGTCAAACGCAACAAGATAACAATGAATAGCCTATATACGTTTGTATTGCAGCAACGCACGTTACATGGGTTGGTGCGATGGGGTGCCATTCATTCTGAATGGAACCCTAATGCACCTTGCCAACAAGGCGTTGCAGTGCACTGCCAAAAATGGTGCACAAACTATTTTTGGTGTACTTGGTGGTATTGACAGCCCATTCGTTTTGAAAAGGGAATATTAATGCAACACAAAAATGTAAAATGAGCCCTACAAGATAAAATAAAAATAAATAAAACCAGCTTTTGCTGCAATATTCAGCTGCAGTACAGAGATTCTCCCTGATTTCCCATGCAATGTACTTTTTTCTGCCACTAGATGTCCTCAGTCTGATGGCTAGCATCATTCAACCCACTTCCTCTTAGCCCAGGTAATCAAAAAATTAAAGGAAAGACAACATTTTAGAGTAGTCCCCAGAACAAGAGGTAAGAGGAGATCACCCAATGTGGAGTTCTGTTGTGGGAACAGCTGTGACTTTGGGCGATTTCCTCTAACTTCCTGTTGTGTCGCTGGGACAGGAAGTGAAGGGCAATTTCCCTAAACTTTCTCTGGCTATACATACACTTTAATGATTACAGAGCTCCATTAATTTGTGTCTGCTCAGAATTCATCTTTAGCTGTAGCCATCTTGAAAAAGCAATGCAATGTAGCTGGGCATTTTTTCTAATCAATCTCCAGAGTTAATTATTTTCCTTTTATAGCTTCAATTTCTCTTTAAGATTTGGCTTATGCTAAACTGCCTGTCTACAGACCAGTATGACAGTCACTGGTCAGGGGGGGAAATAGAGGAAAACCTGCCCTACCCACTATGCAACACCCATTACATGCTCTGTAGAAGTAAGCAGATATGAGGACGTGCCAGTGGATACATAGTTCTATCGATTTCAGCTACAAATATTTGGCATTTAGGGATAATAAAAACATTTAACTAGATATAAGAAATATACGTTTATTTGGTTGGCTAAAGTTTTGGATGACTGAATACAGCCCACCACACTCCGCATCTCCTCTAAGTGGCATTACAGACAGACATTTTCCTTACCAGATCCCACTAGTATGTCAGGGTTGCCCAATGTGACGGCGGCTGTGAAGTCTTCTCCTCTGTATTCTGTGTCTAGCTGCCAGTTCACAAACTTCGACTGCTGAGTCTGGGAAAGGAAGACACAGATTGCACAAAGGGTAAGGGACAATGATGAGATCAGGTTTGATTCAGTAATGTGAGCGTTTCTAAACATGTGGTTTGCGATTACCCAACTGCTCTGCAAAATGACTGTGATGAATACAGCAAGGAAAGACTCTTTCCCTATTTATACCTTATATCTTATACTTTATACCTTATATTTATACCTTATACCTTTACCTTATTTATACCTTATACCTTTATATCTGGCTTTACAGAAGTGATTGGGTTTGTGATGACAGTGGCACATCTGCAACATAATGGGGATATGGCACTTACGTGGGTTCACATGACAGAAGGTTCAGGCCGCTGTCACACTGGTGGTGTCATTTCCAAGCAGCCCAAAGAGCTAGAGGGGGACCACTGGGTCCGTTTATAGCATCCTATTGTAGAAAGGATCATCACACTTTTTATGCCTTGGCACAGACAAAGATGGGTGAATCACAAAAGAATGTGTATCTCTATCATCTGGCAGGTGAAACCGTTCCTATTCATGTGTTTAAATAGCCTCAGGGGTAATCACTGCACTCTATTTGTAAGGTAAATGCCCATATGCTCATCCACAAAAATGTCCATACATTAAAAAGTTAATGCTTTGACTTCTCTCCACTGAAGACCTGTAAAGGTGCCCATACACCTTACGATTATCGTACGACAATCGTAACGCGTGAATAGAGTGTCCGACCGATAGTTTTGTACAATCGTACGACTTTTGACAGTCAAGCATGTTTGAAAACTTTGGTCGATCGTACGATGTTCGCATGGTTGGTGGCGTTTCCGTCCGTCAAAAGGCATGCGCAAACGAAAATAACTGCGGTCAATTACCGCAAGTCATCCAGGTGGTTTTTTTTTTAACTACCGCTGATTGAACCTTTCGATAAATCGGGGCAGGATGGGGCCGTCGTACGAAAATCGTACGACGGTTCGATCATCGGACGAAAAGTTTCGGCCGACAATCGTAAGGTGTAAGGGCACCTTTAGTGTCTCTATACCCACTTTGGACTCTTGAGTTTAAATAGTGTATTTAGCTATGTGACAGGTGTTGCTCTTTAAGAAAATAAAAGCTGCAATGCTGCTCAGCTGACAGGATCGGTATGTAAACTAAGAGTGCACACAAAGCTAAAGTGAAGGAGATAGGATAGTAAGTCATAGAGCCCATGTAGGCAAATTTCACTTCAAGGGCTTGTCCACCTAAAGCTATTATAGGCCCTGGGTAGATGCTGCATGTTTGCTATGTGTGCGTTTATAATCTGCCACCTACACATTATATACAGTTTTTTAAAGGACAAAATTAGTTTTAATTTGATGTGACATACACATATATATATTCTTACAAATTCTTTTTTATTTAAAAAAAAAAAAAAATGGTGTAATATTTGTCTCATAACATTATTAGCCTTCTCCGCACTATATTTTCTTATATTTTATGAAAAGGTTTTTTTATATATATATATATATCTCCCCCCCTTTTTTAAATATGTTTAGAAACTTTAACAAATTGTTTCAATTTATGTTTAAACTAGGGGGCACTAAAAGGGTTATTTTTATTTTATTTACAGGGGCTTTGAATACCAAGTATTCAGAGGAGACACCGTATTCTCCTCAGAGATACTTTGTATCAGTTTTGTAACACACTGATACGGCTGACAGCTCCACAACACATCACAGTGATCACAGTGCTGGGAGCCCCTAAGATGCTGTTGAGGGTCTGCCGTGGACACCGAGGGATCCAGCAACAGCATGATCTCGATGAGCGCCTGTCCCTCCACGGGCCAAATCTCATTTTACCGCATGACAGGATTATTCTGTCACCGGTCTTTATTGACCTGAACGACTGACGGAATAATCCCGCCATCAGTCAGGAAGGGGTTAAAGCCCAACTCCAGGCACAGGAAACTAACCAGGAATACACTCCATTTCCTGAAAAGCAACTCCCCCTGCTGGCTTTCTTTTACATTAGTCAAATCTGCTATAGTTCCAGGCTGCAGGTCTCAAAGATGCCAGTGCTACGGTCATGTCTCCTCTTAGCCATTCACAAAACACAGAGCCCCAAGCTTAATTTTGCAAGTGGCCAAGAGGAACAGGAGATGGAGACACAAGAGTAGCACTGGGGTCTCTAAGAGCTGCAGCACTTACATCTACATGGTCTGGAAGTGCAGTGGGAGCTGTACTTCATGTACAATCATGAAGCTCTATCTACTGCATTAGTCTCAACATCCCCAGGGTGCATTTTATGACTGGGCTGTAAAATGGGGGCCCTTAGTCTATGGAATGAGAGTAAACATGAAAAAGCACTTGAGCAGTGTTGGATGTAACAATGAGGCTTCTGGTAAATAAACTGTGAACAGACATCTTTGTTTCATTATCCTACCTGAAGTGCAATCTTTGATCGGACACATTGAGTGGCTTGATGGATTATTTGTGCGTTCAGGCTGCCACTGTTATCCATTGCTCCAACTAAAACAGGAAATGCCTGTTAAAACAAAAAACACAGAAGCATGAGCATTCACCTACACAAAATGAATCAATCCTCTTAACATTACGATACTTGTGCTTAGAAATGTTGCAGCCTTGCTAAATCTCTTATCTCACGGAAAGCCTTCTAGACAGGAGGTTCAATTCCTTAAGCTTTAACACATGAGCTATTTGCCATAACCACCATTATTTTAAGCAATGACAACCAAGAGAAAGAGCTTAAAATAAGGTTTATAAAATGGAAAAAATACACACAGCTTAATCCAGGGCTCAACAAATCCCAGGCGCCAGGCCGCTAATGCGAATAGAAATTGTGTCCTGGCGCGTGGGCTTTTGTCAGCCCGTTCAGCACACCTGTCTTCGCCGCTTTCCCCAGCAGATTTGTTGCAGGTCTTCTCCAGGGTTGTGGAATTCCTATCGTCCGACGCCCAGGACATGCAGTTTTGGGCGCTGAGCGGGTGTTTTCTTCTACATTTAGCCCCGCTTCAGGCAAGCAGGGCTAAATGTTGAGGGGGTGGGGGGGGGGAAAGTGGACACTCAATTTTGTACAAGTGATCCGCCTGTATCACTTGTATAGCAGCCTGCTTGTCTGTGTCCCCCCCCTCCACGGTCCGTCCGTCCGTCCCCCGCCAAAGTCCGTTCCCCCAGCCGCCCCGCTTTTCAGGGTCCCCTGGGACCACGGCAATAATTTCAGGGTGGAGAGCAGGGAGCAGACTGGAGAACGTCCGTTCACCGATCTGCACCTTGATCAGTGACAAAGGAGCGCTGTATTTACAGTGCTTCCTGCGTCAGCTGTCACATGTGGAGCTGTACATAAGATCCAGCACAATGCTGTGCTGGATTTTCTGTACTGGAGGGCAGGCTCATAAAAAGAGTGTTTGTCCCCTCCAAATGATATCACATGGGGGATTGTTATCTCCTGTGTGATATCAATAAAGTTAAGAAAATATATTTTAAAAAAAGTGATACATTCAAAATAATAATAAAGGCCACCTAAGCAAGGTAAAGTCACCCTCATGTTCTTGAAACCACTCCTGCACAATACGAGCACCGTGGCATGGCGCATTGTCTTGTTGGAAGAAGCCATCTCCATTGGGATACGCCATCAACATGATAGGATGAACTTGATCAGCAATGATACTTTGGTATGTTGTGCTATTCAGACCTTGTTCCACACGAATTAAAGGGCCCAAATCATGCCAGGAAAACATGCCCCAAGCCATAACACTGCCCCCACCAGCTTGAAGGGTTGTACTCATGCATGTGGGGTGCATGCTTTCATGCTGTTCCCGCCACATTCTGACTCTGCCATCTGCATGATGCAACTGGAAACGTGATTCATCGGACCACATGACTTTTTTCCAATGCTCCACTTTCCAATTATTATTATTAACTGCAGACAGCAAAAGGTGTTCGAACAGGCCTTCAGCTTCCATATCCCATACGATGCAGTGTACGGCGAACAGTGCGTTCAGAGATCATTTGAGAGGATAACTGATTAAGATCGGCAGTCATTTGATGCACTGTTGCCCTTCTGTTGTCTTGTACCAGTCTTGCCACTCTCCGTTCTGCCCTAATATTGACTAGTCGCTGACGGCCACAATTCGCACGTTCAGACCCAGATTTTCGACAGCAGAAGTGAAAATAAATCACTTCTACTGTCGTGGTAAACAACCTGCTTCCCTATTTATAATGGTCTGGCCCTCTAGCAACTTCAGCGCAAAATTATAGATAATTTGCCTGCAAACATCAGGTGGTCATAATAATCTGAAGTAACATTTTGTCTGTCTCTGAGATTTATCCTTGCCTTGGGCTTTCATTTTTGACTTGTTCATTGATCATTTCGTAATTGTTCTGCTTATGCGGTTTGGGTCTGAATGCTCAGGCTTACTCACAACTTGATGCCTTATTCTGATACCCTCATGTTCTTGTCCAGCTCATTTCCTGTTTTTTTTTTTTTTGTGTTCAATAAACACAGATTTAACCATAAAGAATGGTGACGACAACTTGCAAACAACAGATCACCATTTAGTCAAATGTCACAATTACAGTACATACAATAAGAACTCACACATTTTACGTGAACTTTCCAAACAGTTTTCAGTGTAACAGTGGAGAATTCCCAGTATATAGATTACATTCTCACCTCTGCTGGGCTCAGCTGCTTTGTTCCAACATATGTGGCTCCAAATTGATAACTTGAATCACTGAGAGCACTGAGTGAGACCGTATGGTTTACCTGCGAGACAGGACAAGAAATGGGAAAAACTGAGATGGCAAGTGTGTCAGACCCTCTGTCAAAAGGTATTAAAATGCAACTCTAGGCAATGCTAATAATAGTTTGTGAATGCCATTGCTATTGCAATAATAAATAAGGCTTCTGGAGAAGACAGCTGCCTCCTGTGTCATGCAAAACGGAAGTGCCACCGGACCTAGAAGAGTCCAGAGAGGATTTACCGATACAAATTCAACAGCATAAAAAAGCCAGGGTGTTTTGGGGGTCCACACAATACCCCTTCATCAAGGCTAGAAATAGATACAAGCTTGATAATTGTTATTCCCTGATAACTCCCTTTCCTCAAATCCTCCAGGATGGTTCACATGCGCTCAAAGTCCTGGAGGATGAAGTGGAAAGCTTGAGTTTTGACCTTTTCCTTGAATCTACATTCTAACTAATATACAGCACAGAGAGAAAGCTATGGATACGACCGTATCGTAAACTTGCAAACAATGTAGATTTCTATTTATACCCGTGTTTTATATTTTCATCTGTCACTGTGCTGTATGTAAATTTACAAACAATGTAGATTTCTATTTAAACTTCTGTTGCTCTGTATTTCTACCCTCGATGAAGGGATATTGTGTGGACCCTTGCAATGAGTTGGCTTTTTTTTTAAACTCTTGAACTTTTATCAATAAAACCACTTTGAGCTCGACAATACTGAGTACCGGTGCCGTGATTATCAGGAAATCAGGCGGCAGATCATAACCCTTAGCCCGGCGTCCTGATTGACTGTGAAGCCAGCGATCTAGCAAAAGGACACCGGCTTCACTTGCAAAGGCTGCCTGACCAATCAGGAAGCCAGGCAGCGAGTCATGAGGTGTCGTCCGGCTTCCTAATTGGCTAGGAAGCCGCCTTCACTTATTGCTAGGCAGCCTGGCTTCCTGACCAATCAGGAAGCTGGGTCATTACGTGCCGCCCGGCTTTCTGATTAGTTAGGAAGCCAGGCTGCCTAGGAACAAGTGAAGCCAGCTTACTAGCCAATCAGGAAACCAGATCATAACCCACCACCCAGCTACCTTATTAGAAAGGAAGCCGATTTCATGCTCCCTCAGCACTGGCAGTCAGAGGGACATCTCCCTCTTACCGGAAGTTTCGGTATTGGAGGTAAGTATCGGGGCGTTATTATTATTTTGTATGTAGCTGCTAAATACTCGGTGATCCTGCCAGTTCCCCTTTGTACCTGTTGCAAACTGACCACACCAAGCATGGAAGCAGATCCACGGCATGTCTTTAACTCCTGTAGTCAGTTTTTTTGCCATGCCTCCTCTCTCTCTTCACCCACCTCACACAGTACAAAATCATTTTATAACCAATATCCTGCAAGCAGTAAATAATAATTTGTCAACCGTGAGGGATGTATAGTCATCTAAGTAGGAAGAGTCGTAATATCCCAGGATGCAAGTAAAGATGTCAGGGCAACATTCAAGGATGTACCCATAACCCCAATAACAGCTATGATCAGCTCTGCACAGTATTTTCTGAGCTACACACACCACCATAACAAGAACTCTGCATTATCATACTTGTTCCAGGTGAGTGGGTCAAAGTACTGAAGCATGACAGCCCAGTAAGAAGCATTAACATGGGGACAGCTCTGCACTGGCAGCCTCCATATTCACAGTACAGGCTTCATTTGGAGAGAAACTCAAACAACTGATCAGCTTTTTAACAGTTTTTATAGCCAGAGCAATGTCATGACAGAAAGAGCTGCTGGGACCCCCTAGAGATATAGAGAGCTGGTGTGTGATCCAACCTTCTGCAGCTACGGAAATATCAAAGCCAACAGTCTACCTTAAGTGGGAGTGAGCCATTAATGAGCCTTACCTGGAAATAGTTACTCAACCCTTTATTTACAATAAGTTTCACACCTTCCATCTGAATGGGGAATAATTCTGTGAGAAGAAAGCAAAATTAAAGATAAATAAATTACCTGAATTTAGGAACCTGACAAGAAATTCAGCGTCATAGTGATGAGCCAAATGCAATGTGTGAGGGGTGGGAGAGTGTTGGAAAGCTCCTATACTCCCTGGAAGTGTTAGAACTTTGCCCATCCTGAATGGCCTGCCATTTGGGCATAGTGGGGACAATGGAAACTACTTATGCTCAGGCACCTCTAGGTCTGTACTTTATACCTGCTAGCATCCTTTTTTTTTTGCAAAGTGAAATAGTGAAGTGCGTCAGTGAATGAGCAAATCTTAAGCATACTCGTTATATGTTTTTAATTGTATGCAGCACATTTTTTTTCAGTTTAAAATGGAAAATACTACATGTCAAAATTAGAAAAGTTGGGGTTTTTGGGCAGCCGACTGACAACTTAACAAACCAAACATTTTGTTGAAAAAATATATTGATTTTATTTGATTAAAAAATAATTGGAATGGATAAAATGTTTTGACAACAAGATTCTCCTATAGGCTTCCTCCACACTGATTGTAGTTCATTCAAAGAAAGATAACATTTAGAGATTTTGTACAATGGAACATGATTAGATGATTAGAAAGCATGATGTAATAATTCATGGACACAATACATGATCAGTATAAAAAGAGTGATGGAGGAGCTTGATTTTCTCGACGTTTCGCGCTAGATAGCGCTTCTTCAGGAGATGAAGAGAGAAGTTGTCCTTGGAGTCTGTGTGCGTCCCGGTTGTTCCAACCGGCTCAGACAGTAAGAAGTAAAGGCGTAGGGCAGGGGGAAACGGGACCAGAGAAGGAGAAGAAATGAAGACCCTAAAACCCCAGTGGAGGCAGACTCAGTCAAGAGATGGCAGATGAACCGCAGTTTGCAAAGAGTTGGAGGTTAAGACACAAGACTGTCAGTCTGCGTCGTAAAGTAGCCGTTCCTCTCTTGAAATCGAGCCCCCAGCAGCCAATACAGCCCTTTCAGAGCACAGCCTATACTCCAATACTTTTTCCAATATTTTTTCAACAAAATGTTTGGTTTGTTAAGTTGTCAGTCGGCTGCCCAAAAACCCCCAACTTTTCTCATTTTGAAATACCAATTTCAGGGGTGTGGCATCCTGTGCTTTGATTCAGGTCATTCTATGCTAAGAAAATACTACATACAGATATTTGGTATATACTACTTGCAGCCAGAAGGTGAAGGTCAATGCAAGGAGTAGCCAAACTCCGGCTCTCTAGCTGTGGTGTAACTACAAATCCCATTAGGCATTGCAATACTGACAGCCACAGGCATGACTCCTAGAGACGGATGCATCATGGGATTTGTAGTTTCACCAAAGCTGGAGGGCTGGAGTTTACCTACCCCTGCTCTATGCTATAGTAGAGATGTAGAGAAGTCTATGACTGCTTTGCAGCAGTGTGATGTGAACCTTCAATTTAGAAACTCTGTGCTGTGCATGGGTTCATGGGAAGACAATATAAAAAGACAGTTTTCAGGCAGTGACAACAGTTTTCTTTTTACCAGAGGAACATGAAGAATTGCAAGAGACTGTCAATCCAGTACATTATATACAAAGCAAATCAGAGTGATCGCTAAGCTGGGAGTTATTTTCTAAAATGACATTTATAGATTCTAATTCCATACTTTTTCTTGAGGGAAACAGCAAAATTGCAGTTTAATAATTACTGCCCTCATGACTGACCATGGGGACTCAGCGTCTCAGGACTAACCTTTGCACTTGCGGTGGCACTCTTCATACGTGCCGGGATTCGGTAACCGCTCTTCCTGAGTTTCTTTCTTTTCTGCTACTTGGCCCAAGCCAGAGACAGGGGGCATTGTGAACCCAGGAGGCACAGATACTAAACCAGGGCCTGGAGAGGACCCTGCAAGAGGGGGAGAGGGAGAGCTGGCAGCCATAACATTCCCCATGATTTCTGTGAACACAAAGCAGAGGAAAACAAATACATTATTTATGCTGTCTGTTGTGTTACTGGGTCAGGAAGTTAGCAGAATCTCTCCAACATATAGTTACAGCTACAATACCACAACAAGGTAGATGTTAGTGCCTGGGTCTCTACTGATAAGATTTTCTGTGACTGCGGGACAGGAAGTGGTGGGAAATCTCCCCAACAGGGACACAGGCAAAAAATAAAAATGATGTTATACTGTTTTGCACACTAAATTAGAAAAAAATAATTTGTATTTAAACGCTTCTCAGAATATCTATCCAAGCAGGCAACGATCATATGAGCATTATAAATGAAATGTAATGTTAATCATTTATTACAATCAATAGGGAATTTACCTTGTGTACATAACATACATGTGTAACTCAGTTATACATCTGTAAACCTGCGTCAGCTGAGGACACTGTCAGCCGAGGGGTTCACCCAATGCTAAGATTATTTGCAATCTCAAAGATCAGCTTCAAAATGGAATTCCAACCCAGAACTGTTTTCTAATTTTGAGTCACAATAAGGAGGGTTAAACGTTTATCATCATGGCTTACGACTAGAGAGGTTTGACCTAATTTCCTGTTCCACGGATATAACAGGTCACCAAAAGAAGTGACCCCATTAGTAGATTACTCCTCGAAACGTGGCCATACACTGTACAACCCTTGCAAGACTTTTGTCTTGCGAGGGTTGTAATGTAATTTAAAAAAAAAAACGTACGATCTGCCCATCTTGGACAGGCAGATAGTACTTGCGATCAGCGCAAGCCAGCCCCGCTGAGGGGCGGGCTTCCGATGACTGCAATGCTGAACGGGCAGTGTGCGCACACCGGCCCGTTCGGCAGTTGTCGAACAAGCACGCCACTTGCACGATTCCCGGCGTGTTTTCCAGCCTGCCTGTTCGACGGAAGACGTGCGAACATACAGTAGAAATGGTCGCACGCCTTCCATACATTTTGCGATTAACGTACGACCGCGGGATTTCCCGCGATAATCGTACAGTGTATGGGCACCTTTAGATTAACACTAACAGGAAGAGAAGATGAATGTCCCCAACAGGGACAGAGTGAGCAACACAGACCTGGCCAACACTAACCCAGTTTTGGTTGAGGTTCTACTTTAAAGTCACATTTTCTAAGGCTGCGTTCACACCTGACCATTTTGTAGCGCGTCCTACGATCGACGAACGCGCTAGAAAACGGTCTAAAAAATAAATAGCATTGTAGTCAATGCCCTCGTTCCCACCTAGGCGTATTTCCGCCCGTCCCTAACGCCCTACAAAACGGCCCACGCCTGAAAAGGTCCCGGGACTACTTTGGGCCGTTTTGTAGGGCGTTTTCCATTGGGATACAGCCAAGTAGCCTTTGGAGTCGCGCAACTTTTTTACCGCGAATCGCGGTAAAAAAACACGCGACAGATGCGCTTTTGCAATACGCCTAAGTGTGAACCCAGCCTAAGGCATATGTTCTAAGGCATTTTTATTATTATTTTTATTTGTTACAAAAATAAACAAACATTCATTTTTACAAAATGAAAGGAGATGCCCTTTTTAACAGTTGTCCCCAGAACAAGCACCCCCTCTGTTCCTGCTCTGGAGACAACGCAAAAATGTTTAAAACAGAACTGAAGCCAACACTTTTCTTTTTTTTGTTGTTATTGTGAGATTTCGCTTCAAATGGTAGAGCTTTATGGACATAGTCCTCTCCCCTTTAAGAGCCTGGTAGCCCATTTTGAATCAAAAGAAAGTCAAACAGTCTGCATAAGTTTTCCTTGCAGGGGTTTCCAACATCACATTCATGCACTTCTTGCAAAACAAAACACAGTTTAAGCCTCTGGCTTCTACTTTCTCGGCATCCAGCTACTTTGACCCACCGCTCCCTGTCTGTTCCTTCACAGACTACTGTCTGTAGTGTTGTCCTCAGCCCCAATGACTCTCTCTGGCCATCACTGGCCTTATTCCAGCCACCACAACTGTCTCTCTTGTGCCTCCAGCACACACATCTGGCTTCACTCTGACTCCTGGCTGGTTCCCTCCTGACTCCTGAACAGAAAACCTTCCACCGTCTCCAAGGTCGAGCCCTGAACCCTAGCCAGCAATCTTCTCATAAGGGCTGTGGCACATCTGTGCCATCAATGGGTGCTTGTCACTACTAAACCATGGACCCGCAAATGGAGATTTCATCCCTCACAAATCAACTTTGAAATCTCCTGGTTTCAGGATCCCGGGCAGAATCTAGAAAGAACTGCAAAGCCAGTTCAGCAATATGCAGATTGTAGCTCATCCCTTTGATCTGCAGATTAATGAAACAGTAGATACAAAGGTAACAATGCAGCTTTGTATTTCTCCATCTTGCTCTCTTCTCTTTTTTTTCTGACAGCAGCAGCTTCTACAGCTACTCTATTTACACCCCAACTACCGGCTGTCACTTTGACAGCCAGGGATTGCCAGCAAATGTGAAGGGGGAAGAGGCAGAAGGCCATGGATAGGTGTCCTGTGTACTTTGTATTATACAGGTGAAACTTGAATAATTAGAATATCGTGCAAAGTTCATTTATTTCACTAATGCAACTTAAAAGGTGAAACTAATATATGAGATAGACTCATTACATGCAAAGCAAGATAGTTCAAGCCGTGATTTGTCATAATTGTGATGATTATGGCTTACAGCTCATGAAAACCCCAAGAACCCCAAATCCACAACCTCAAAAAAGTAGATTATTACATGCAATAAAACAAGGATTGTACATAGAATATCGGACCTCTGAAAAGTACAAGCATGCATATGTACTCAGTACTTGGTTTGGGCCTCTTTTGCAGCACTTACTGCAATTACTTTTGCACGATATTCTAATTATTCGAGTTTCACCTGTATATTTTTGTGCAACAGTAGCATGCCCAATGTACATTTAAGCATACATGTTAAGTGACCATCAGGAACCCGATTAGAGCTGCAACAGTTAATCGATTTAGTCGATTAAAATCGACGATTGAAAACGTTACCAACGTTTTCGATCGTCGATTCGTCGGCTATCGATTGATTTCCCTGTTCGGGGCTCTACACGCGGCCTGAAGCACACGCTGCTCACGTCCCGCTGAGCAGTATAATCATTATACAGCGCAATGGAGAATACCACCAGCTATAGAGGACTACAAATCCCAGCAATAATACATTATATACAGCGCAATGCAGAGTAACGCCAGCTACAGAGGACTACAAATCCCAGCAATAGTACATATGTAGTATAATGTAGTATTGCTACATTCCTCTATAGCTGCTGGTATTCTGCACTGCGCCGCTGTATTATGTACTATATTGCACACCACACTCTTTTTTTTACTTCTACCGCGCCAAGCTTGCTCCCGTGATGGACTACAATCTCACCACAAACTAGTAGTCCATCACTGGAGCCTTTTTTTTTTTATCCGATTAACTGATTAATCGAACTTAATAATCGGTCAACTAATCGATTATGAAAATAATCGTTAGCTGCAGCCCTAAACCCGATCCTGTCTAATGACAGGCAGAAGACACATGGAGACAGAGAGAGGCTGCAGCAGATCAGCAGCAAAGAGATGCAACAAATTATTATTTTTTTAAAGGCTCAGTATACCGCGAGCTGTAGCTCGCGGTATACTGAGACGCCGCAGCTGAAGCGGATCCCGACAATTGTGCCGGGATCCGCCCAGCTGCGTGGCTCTAGAGGCAGAGCCAGCTGTACTCGCCCCCTCCCCCGTCCGTTCCGCCAGTCAGCCCCCCCGTCACGGCAGAGAACTCATTGTCACAAGTCGGCTAGAACTATGAGGTGAGTGAAAAGCACTCATCTCATAGTTCTTTTTTTGGGTTTGGATAGAGTTGGAAGTGACTAGAACCCCTGTCAGATTTTAATTGCCGTGTGTCCCCGTTAGGATGATTCACCCTCTCTATTTGTCCCGGTGAATGCAATCACTGAAAGAAAATCCCACATATTAGGTTGTCATCAAAACAGAATTGATGGAATATCTTCCACTGGGGACCCTTTGGCTTCAGTTCTACTTTAATTCCCGGAACACACCAGGAACCCTAACCACTTGCTCTCCGGAGCAATTTCTTACTATTTGCACACAGATGATATCAGAATTTGTGTCTAGAAAACAGCTTCAGACCCCCAAATAATAAATATATTTTCTGAAAGCAGATGCACTGTAGAATAAAACAAATGCTAGTTGCTACGGCATTGGCGCACATTTTTATCAAACTAGTATTTTTAAGATAAAATAAACCAAAATGAAATTTTACAGAAACAGAATACCCCATTTTTTGGTAAAATATAAAAGACGGGGTCACGCCGGGTAAAAAAATACCAAACATGTCAAGCCTTAAAACTGCGTGCGCTCGTGAAACCGCAAAAAGCTACACTACCCAAAATTACCCATAGGCAACGCTGCTTATCAGTTTAGTGTTACCAGTGATTGACGTCCTTAGAATTATTGCTCTCACTCCAACGTTCACGGCAATAGGTAACATGTGTGGCGCAATTTACGTTGTTGCATGTAGGTGCATCCGATGCATGTTTGCGTTGTATGTGCGTGCACGTGGGGGACGGGGGACTTTAACAATTTTTTTTGCATTTTTATTTTTCAGGTTACTTTAATTATTTATTTTTACACTCGACTTTATTGCGATCATATAGGGGGATAACTAGCCCCCTATGTAATAGTAAATAGGATGTGACAGGTCCTCTTTATTAAAGACATTAGGGGTCTTTTAGACCCCTGTCACCTAGGGACCCCAAAGAAGCTGAGGAAGCAGAGATCTGCTTCACCAGCTTCTTCTTCTGGCTCTAAGGGCCGGAGAATGTGCACAGTGACCCCAGAAGTGATGTCATACACATCACTTCCGGGTCGAGTGATCAGAGGAGAGATCAGCGGCTGGAAGCTTGCTAATCTCCCTCCGATCTGTCAGGGAAAACCCGCTGCGCCAATGCTAGGCCCTCACGGGGTGCTGGGGAGCCCGGGGTAGCCGGCGGGGAGCACACTCCGCCGCTCAGTACAAACGATCAGGCGGCTATAGAGCCGCTGGATTGATTGTACCTTAACAGCCATCGCCAGCTGTTTAAAATGATAGCAAGAACACGGCCACGGCTGCAGCAGCTGTGTTCTTGGTATAACCACTTCAGGGGGAGGACGTGTATTTACCTGAACGTGCCTGAGGTGGTTAAAAAAAAAAAAGTGACATATTCCGTCCAATGAGATTTGAGAATGAGTCACATGGCTAAATTAGAGAGCCCTAAGCTTAGTGCATTGAGCTTATAGATCTTCAGCAGACCAGATGGCATTGTTAGGGTTTCCAACTAATTAAAGGGTACGTACACCCAATCAGCAAACTTCTCTAATTCTGTCCCTTATGATCTGCAATGTAATCCATCGAAAGTGTTTTATTTTATCTGTTCAACAAGTTTAAAAAAAAATACTTTCTGATGCTGCCAGATATCCTGTGAGCTGATAACAGTCAGCACGTTATCAGTTTGCATTGTTCCTGGCTCTCTCTCTCTCTCTCTACTGACAGCTAAACCCCTCCCCTCTATGTCACAGAGATGAGAGGAGGGGATGAGGTGTTCATAAAAAAGGCATAGTCCACCGTTTTGCAACTATTTAATAAATGAATCCACAATAATAAAATAAAAAAGTGCATTTATTACATTTTTGCACCGAAGCCTGCAGAGCATTGCAACCGCGTCCAGTGCACAGCTGGTTTCATTCTCAGGCTCCTGCACTGTCAATCACAGTCCCTCACTTGTGCTTAAGTGAGATCTAGGAGTCTCTCTGCCGCGGTGGTTTGAAGGTTTGGGGGAAGAGACCATATTTCTAAATACATGCAACATGAAGCATGGTCACATGGGTGGACTGAGCCTTTAAGTTCTAACACACTGCCTGTTCTAGGGTGACTACACTGCTACTTGGCTACAATCAGTGCTGTCACTGTAGTACAGGAAGTGTATTACTGGCAGAAAAGAAAGGGGGGGGGGGGGGAATGGGAAAGAAGAGCCAGAAAAAGAAAACTAATGCAGCCACCACATCTGCTGAGCTATATTACATTTGTGTTATTAGGGTTTGGATACACATTCCTATCTTTATACACAGGCACACTTTAGGGTGTAGACACAGGAAACGCAAGCTGCTACACACTGGGGTATATGATTGGTAGGCATGTCCTGTCACAAATGGAACAATCAAATTTAGGGCATGGCTCCAAGGTGTCACAGTTTTATTTAGGCCATAGTGCAATCGTTAGCCCCTCCCCCCCAGCCTTAGTCTGCAGTGTGACCCCCTGTGCAGGGTCACAGGACAGGCCAGCTGCAGCTCCTGGGCTCCCCCATGCAGCAGTGTGCAGTCCCCTCCCTGTTAACCTTCCCCGGCATGTCCCATTCATACTTAATGTACCAGCTTATGACCCACCTGGGCCACCAACGCCCCCCGCCTCCCCCCAGGTACTCCTTCCCCTTATCCCTCACCTTCTCCCCCACCCTAAACCTCACCTTTCCTCTCCTCTCCAGCGCTCTCTGGGCTTTTTCACATACACTCACACACGAAAAGAGCAACCGAGCCCGCTGGCCGCCGTAGCCCCGCCTCTCCTTCTTCGTTATTGACAGAAAAGTGCAACCACTCCCCCTCTCCCTTGCCTCATTCGTTCACTCCTTCCGTCAATCAGCCGGCTTTTTGCGGCGCAGCCTAGCTTGCTGCTAGGCGTCTTGCGATTGGCCCAGTCTCGGCAACCTTGGCTTTCTATTGGCTGAAGCCGGCGTTGAGGTCGTAGTGCAAGGTCATGTGAGCCGCCCCACAGTTCCACGCGTTTTTCAGGCCGGGGCCGCCATATTTTTTGGGTTGTTGTCATAGTGACGGTGACGTACTGTGGCGACTAGTGATGACGTTCGAGGGTTAATAAGTAGAGTTTAGCGAAGGTTGTTCTCTTGGTTCCACAAAGCTATCCTGTAGCAGGGGCCAGGTGGGGTGACCACACACGTCTTAAAATGCCATTAAGAAAGTTTTAATGTGAACCTGTCAGTCTCTAATAAGATCTTAATGGCATTTTCATCCAATAGAAGAACACTTGTACCCACTGCTCCGGCTTATGTGACCTCGCTTCGCTCTGATCCAGTGCATAGTATTACCATCTTCTTTTAAAGTGAAACCCAAATACTCTAGCGCTGCAATTTTCGGGGGGTGGGAATATACAGGAGAGGAGAGACGGCCTGGGGAGAGAGAAAAGAGACAGCAAGGAGAGCCAGCCAGGAGGATGAGCAAGGAGAGACAGCCAAGAGCATGAGCAAGAAGAGACTGCCAGGGGTGAGAACGAGGAGAGACAGCCAGATGGATAAGCAAGGAGAGTGAGCCAGGAGAAAGAGTGAGGAGAGTCAGCCAGGAGAGACAACCAAGAGGATAAGCAAGAAAAGACAGCCAAGAGAGTGAGGAGAGATAGTGATAAACACATCTGCCTGAAGCAGAACCCCTGTGGCCTTCAAGACTTTTTTGCACCCGGTGTTTCAGACACATCCCTGCTCCCCAAGTTTCAGCGTCCCCCCGTGTCCCACGCCTCCTCCATGCACTCAAGTTGGAACACCAGAACCCCATGGTTGCCCCTGTACATCTGGCATTGTAACATCTTGTGTCCAGGTTTTAGCTGGCCTGAAACCCAGGACTGTTCAGCTGATCAGTCCTACCAGTGCTACAGCCTCCTCCGGGACTTGTTTACATCGGCTCTGTTAATCTGTGTTTAGAGGTGCAGGCTCAATACAGGTGCACATAGAAAACAATTCTTCCCATTGAAGTCAATGGGGCCTGTTCACACACCGTTGTGTTGCGTCGCTGAAATGGCCCGTTGCACCAAAAGGCGCAGAAGCTGTTTTCAAAGCAAAATCGCGCAAAAAAACGCACGAAAACAGCTCATCGGCTCAATCGCCTAGGTCTGAGCCTTGCCTAAACAATAAACATAAGAATAAGGAATGTGCTGTACTATTTAACACCCTTCTATGTGACAACATAATGCAATAAAATGAATAATTACCAGGAAATACATTTATTCAGTCAAGATTGTAGTATTCCCTCATATAGATGTTCAGTGCAGATGTCATATTATAATGTTTAAAGAAAAAGTGTCCTTACATTAGTGGTAACCGGGAAGAATGCCCCTTACATTGGTGGTCACCGGGAAGAATGCCCCTTACATTAGTGGTAACCGGGAAGAATGTCCCTTACATTGGTGGTCACCGGGAAGAATGCCCCTTACATTGGTGGTCACCGGGAAGAATGCCCTTTACATTGGTGGTAACCGGGAAGAATGTCCCTTACATTGATGGTCACCGGGAAGAATGCCCCTTACATTGGTGGTCACTGGAAGAATGTCCCTTACATTGGTGGTCACCGAGAAGAATGCCCCTTACATTGGTGGTCACCGGGAAGAATGCCCTTTACATTGGTGGTCACTGGGAAGAATGCCCCTTACATTGGTGGTCACCAGGAAGAATGCCCCTTACATTGGTGGTCACTGGAAGAATGTCCCTTACATTGGTGGTCACCGAGAAGAATGCCCCTTACATTGGTGGTCACCGGGAAGAATGCCCTTTACATTGGTGGTCACCGGGAAGAATGCCCCTTACATTGTTGGTCATTGGCAGGAATGCTCCTTACATTGGTGGTCACCGGGAAGAATGCTCCTTACATTGGTGGTCACTGGGAAGAATGCCCTTTACATTGGTGGTCACTGGGAAGAATTCCCCTTACATTGGTGGTCACCGGGAAGAATGCCCCTTACATTGGTGGTCACTGGAAGAATGTCCCTTACATTGGTGGTCACCGAGAAGAATGCCCCTTACATTGGTGGTCACCGGGAAGAATGCCCCTTACATTGTTGGTCATTGGCAGGAATGCTCCTTACATTGGTGGTCACCGAGAAGAATGCCCCTTACATTGTTGGTCATTGGCAAGAATGCACCTTACATTGGTGGTCACCGGGAAGAATGCTTCTTACATTGGTGGTCACTGGGAAGAATGCCCCTTACATTGGTGGTCACCGGGAAGAATGCCCCTTACATTGGTGGTCACCGGGAAGAATGCCCCTTACATTGGTGGTCACCGGGAAGAATGCCCCTTACATTGGTGGTCACCGGGAAGAATGCCCCTTACATTGGTGGTCACCGGGAAGAATGCTTCTTACATTGGTGGTCATTGGGAAGAATGCTCCTTACATTGGTGGTCACTGGGAATAACTCTCCTTACATTGGTGGTCATTGGGAATAACTCTCCTTACATCGGTGGTCAGTGGTGGTGGTCTTTTATGCAGACTTCAAAAGATAGGTCCGCATAGTGTGTCCACAGTTCAGGAGGTTAAATAAGATCACACTGGTACCATAACGCATTCCATGCCTTAGCGCTAAATCAGAAAAGATAAAAGCCCCTTTTATCCATGGTCATGTGACCTGCTGGGTCCTGATTCTATTATCTTTCTCACTGCAGAGTGGGAAGGTCCTATTTCGAGTGCCCACGTCCTCTCAGACTTCTGAAGACTGCAATTGCAGGATGATGTCACCTCACGGGGAATTGTGGGCGGTAGGGAAGAGCTACACGCTGAATCGCCAGTATCCACTCCTGGGTTAGGTGCTTGTGAGGTCAAAGGAGAAAACGATCATATTGCCTGATGAAGGGACCCTGTGTGGCCCCGATACATTGCACTTCCACATGAACAAAGGCATTTTATTTCTGAAAAAGCCTCTTGAGGTGCCCGCAGAGAGAGAGAAGGGGACACATCAGTGCAGATGTGCGATGGATTACCGGCATTGAGGTGCTGGTGAGGAACACGTGATAGCAAATTTAGGTAAGCAAAAAGGCGTAAAAGGGTTAAAAAAATGGCTAGGGGTGGCCTTTAATTTGTAACAGATTTTCCTCGTTGAGAGTAAAAAGAAGAGAGAGGCATAAACACAGTGATACTGTCTGATACTGGTGATAATGATCCACCTGATCTAACGAGTGCTCCTTTGAATTATCTATGAGAGGACGCAGATGGGGGAGGATTCATCGTTGTGAAAATATTTCATACAGGCAGTCCCCGAGTTACAAACATCCGACTTACATACGACTCCTACTTACAAACGAAGGCTAATAGGCCCCGTTCACACTGAGCGATTAATCGCGCGGTAATTCCCGCGATATCGCGGCTATTTACCGCGCGATATCACTCTCCAATGCTTGGCAATGGGGCAAAGGGTCCTGCTGTCGCGGGTCGTGCGTCGCTACATCAGGACCCTTTTTGGAGCGGATTTTGCCGCGATCCTAGCTTGCTCAATGCAAGCATTTGCGCCATATCGCGCCATATCGCGCAAAATACAAATCGCGCGACAAACACAGTGTGAATGGGGCCTCAGTGTACAGCAAGGGGTTGTAATGCTATCGCGCTCGTGCTGATGAAGAGTGCCCGCCTTTTTGGGTCTGGTTCGTAGTACTGTACGTACATCACAGGAAGTTGGCTCTTGTTAGACGTGCAGACGAGGGGTGCCCACCTCTTATTCCGGGTCACTGTGAGGTTTTAACTGCTGTATCTATCCTCATTAGAAAGATTTAATCTCACTTCCTGTCCTTGAGACAACAGGATGTGAGAGGAAACCTACCCCTAGGAAGGGAAATTCACTCCTGTAAGAGTGATCATGGGAAAAAGGTGTCTCCACCGAAGCTTTATCACCAATCTTTGTTTCCATGACAACCCATAATTTTCAAAATCCAATTGTCGCAGGGACAGAAAGTGAGGTGAAATCTTCTGAACAGGGGGACACACAGCAAAACAAACTTTACAGGGGGGTTAACATGCTTCCCTATGCTATCCAAAACTAAAAGCAATGTTTTTGGCTGGAGTTATACTTAAAAAATGTACATGTTCCAACTTACATACAAATTCAACTTAAGAACAAACCTGCAGAACCTGGGGACTGCCTATAATATATTTTTGGGACTGTTTTGGTGCTTACAGAGACATTTTAAGAGAACTTTCCTATTGTTTTATATATTGTTTTTCTATATCTTGAAATCAGAGAACACTGCTGCTAGCGCTGAGCATTTTGCATAGAACATTTTCCTGAAAGGTTTTTCAGACTGTTTTTGCACAGCTGCTGTTGAGCGGTAGCTAATGATAAACAGGAGCGCGGATCATTTGAGAATATTAGAGCTGTGATATGATGTCTATGAATTCCAGTCCCTTCACTTTGACTACAGCTACCGTGTTTCCCCGAAAATAAGACAGTGTCTTATATTTTTTTTTCTACGAAAAAAGACACTAGGTCTTATTTTCGGGGAATGTCTTACCTGGCTGCAGCTGTCCGCTCTGCCGTCCAGGGAGCCAGGCGTGCGGGTGGGCGTGCGTGCGGGCGCTGCGGCTAGCGCTCTCATGTCATCCAGGGAGCTGCTCTGGGTGACTGTCAGCCAATCGGAAGGCTTCTGGCAGTGTGTGGGGGGGGCCCGGGCTGTGCTCGGCATGCATTGAGATCCCCTAATGGTGCCCATACACCTGCTGACTGTCGTACGATAATCGCGGGAAATCCCGCGATCATACAATAATCAGCAGGTGTATGGAAGGCGTGCAACCGTTTCTACTGTACGGTCGCACGTCTTTTGTCTTACG